CCTGTAGAGTATGGGTACGCAGGAACGGTGGGAACCACGAGGTCACTTGGGAAAGGTGGGACTGCTGGGACGGATGGAAGCACAGGAGCCGCAACTGTAGGTACTGCTGGTACTGCTGGAACACCGGGTGAGGGAGCGGAGGGCAGTGGTTGCTGCGCCGCGGGAGCTACCGAGGGCGCTGGTGCGGGTGAAGGCGCTGCGACTGCTGCAGCAGTCGGTAGTGCAGGTGCATCTGGGGACTGAGGTGTGACGGGCGCCATAGTCTCCTGAGGGATGAAACTTCCGCTGGTATCGACGGTTCCAACTACTTCGACGGCGACAGTGACAACCTTCGTGTTGCCTAGTGCAGCACGACGGTGAAAGAAGCGATGGCCTCTGCTCATGCTGTCTCTGGCTCTCAGTTCAGGGATAAGGTCCTCCTGGCTTGATTCCTCCTCTTTCTCTTCAGATTGCGGCACAGGTTCGCTCTGGAGCGGGACGTTTTGCGCGCGGTGACGGTAGCGCGAATCGACTCTGGATATCCTGGGAGGTGTTGCAACGGGGTCCATAAAGGTCTAGAGACGGGGCCAGGCAATATGGACTAGGGCGATGCTTCCAGAGTATCGGTGGCGAGGCGCGCGGTTTGGCGGTACATGTGTTGTAGGGACGGTGTTGCGAATGAGCGGACGTACGGGCTTCAGCCGATGCAGGGAGTCCAGTCAATGGAGTGGGTTTGGGTGGGAGCGAGTGAATGTCGGCAAAAGAATGGACGCCAGGTGACTGACTGAGGGATGGTCTGGAGGCGGCAACGATCAGCACTCACATGTCAGGAGGATGAGTGCAGAGGAGGACCTACGTGAAGGCGATCAATAGGCCAGCATTTGCTTCGCGACGGTCGCGCGGTTGAGGGGGCAGACGGGGTGGTTATGGGGAACGGGCGGCGGACGCAATTTCTAGCGTCGTGTATCGTGCAACGGGGTGGGCCAGACGTGGTGTGGGTGTCGCGCGACGGCGGCTCCAACAGCTTCTTCCTGAGGGTCCCTTGGCCGTGGTAGCGCTGGGTCCGTGGAATTGTCGACGTCGCGGCGGAAGCGTCGTGGGAAAGAGCGATCGGGACACAGGGAGCAGACACAGACACTTTCACAGCGCACGCCGACGCTCCAGCCCAGCCAGATGCAGCGAGGAGACGAGAAACCGTTTGGGGTCCGTCGGCCGTTGGCACGGGCCCTGTGGGACTGATTGGCCCGCAACCGAGATGATATGTCCAGGAATAGCAGGCCCCACCGGCATACGATATCACCACACGCCCTCAGCAGCGACGCGATCTTCGCTGCCATGACGACTGGTGACGACGGCAATCTCTTGCTTAATCTCGACCTCGCCCACCCGTCGCGCGTCGTCGAGCTTCATTCTTCGGCAGTATAACTTCGGAGAATTGGCGTACCATGGTCCAAAGGGGCTGCTAACTAGCCGTCCCGCTTGCACCTGCAGTGGCGCCACACCATCCAGCGACGGTCTTTCAGGTACCGCATTCTGGAACGGAGTATGCAGGGCTATGGCCCACTGCAAAGTCTGTCAAGGTGTTATTCTTAGTTGCCGCCCTTGGGTTGTCGCACCTGCCATTGCTATTGTCGCACAAGCATCGCCGACTCGTGCTCGTCGCCTTGGGGGACTCGCTTGCTGCAATCTGCCGCCGTGCCCTTTCCACCACCGCCGGCCCGTGTCTGCTGGCTGGCGTATTGCCAAGCCCGAGTAGTGTTCATTGTTCGCTAGGGTGGCCTTCATAGTTCACCACCAACATCACGAGCTTCCTCTCTGGAACGCGCCACTGTCTAGTATGTTTGTCTGGAGCCCCTGGCCTATCGCGTCAACAAACAACAGCGCATGAACCACGCCGAACAAAGAGCGAGGCCATCCACGCCGTCTGACATTGCCCTCCTGATGCAGACCTGCCCTTCAGCATGCCTCATTCCTCATGACTTGTGAGATGTGCCACTCTGCGGTGCATGACTATTCGTCATATAGCTTCACAGACCTTAGCAAACCTAAATGACAAGGCCTCAGTGATCAGCTCTATACGCACGAGTCATGCACCTTAACACGGAACTTCAAATATCCTCTGACACGAGCGCGACTTCGAAACACAAACATGTAGAATATATATGTAATATATAACCAAAGGAGTGATCGGCGGCGCGCCAGATTCCGCGGTTTGGTCACTTGCTGCTTTCTAAGTCTTTGTCTCCGCTAGGAAAGCGTGCGTCTCATCGGGTTCCACACGCCCAACTACGACTGCCTGCCGCTTGTGGACTACTACATCTCATTGCGCATGCCTTTCTTCGTTTGGATCCAAGAATCTGACGGTGCGCACTCTCGAACCAGCCAGTCTTGACTTTCTGGCGCGTATCTATTCGTTATGCCTACTTGTTGAGCATGCGTATAGGTGAATACGCGAGTGGCGAGCGAATACGCCGTCCCTCGTATCGCACCTGCGTATGAGTTGTCGCGTTTTACCCCACATTGCCCCTCTGAACTGCGCGCCTTCCAAGCCTCGCAAACACTTCCAAGTTTTCAAGACACTGGTTATATAATTCGTGCCTCTTCCCATGCGTGTCGCCCGTGTCGTAACAGGTGCACCAACACCCAACAATGACGTCGCCCACAAGTCAAGCAATGGACCCCCAAAAGCACCAAAGACGCCCACCACCTCTTCCTCCCCGAGACTCTTCAACAAGTGATGCGCCTCCACCCTACTCCGTCATGGGCATGTCGTCGCAAGACCCGCGCTCCTCATCAACGCAGTCGCTCGTTCCAGATCCCTCGCAGGGAGACACCGGGCGACGGCGGCTAATGCTCGTTTTCATTCATGGCTTCATGGGCAACGAAACAAGTTTTAGGAGCTTCCCAGCCCACGTGCACAATCTTGTAACTATCACGCTCGCCGAAACCCATGTCGTCCACACAAAAATCTATCCCAGATACAAGTCCAGGGATTCGCTTGAGATTGCGAGAGACAATTTCTCGAGATGGTTCGCTTCTCTCACCCATCAACATGCTCAGGACTGACCGCTGTCAGGCTAGCTCCACACGAGGATCAATGGACCGACGTTGTCTTGCTCGGTCATTCCATGGGTGGCTTGCTCGCTGCAGACATCGCGCTAGTATTCCGCCATCGCATCATTGGCATCGTGAATTTCGATGTTCCGTTCCTGGGCATGCATCCTGGAATTATCAAAGCTGGACTAGGCAGCATCTTTAGTTCACCACCAACACCACAGGACGCGATTGTGCAAGACGCCGATGTTGGAAAGAGGCCCAGTAGAATGAGTACAATCTTCAACCCAAAGCCGACGGATCCCAATTACAACCCGGCATTCCCAAATGATGTGAATCTGCCAAATCGGAAGGGCTGGGAAAATAGCCTACACTGGCTTACCAAACACTACAAAGACGGCTTGAAAGAAGCCACTAAAGGTCTCGTCAAGTCTCATTTTGAGTTCGGTAGCGCAATGGCCGACTACAAGGAACTGAAGAACAGATACGCAAGGGTGCGCGCGCTTGAAGAAGACGACGAAAGCAAGAGGAGATCTGGGTTTGGCCAAGGGCGCACAGTACCTCGCGTACGCTTTGTCAACTACTATACTGCAAGCACCGGGAGACCAAAGAAGCCGAAATCTCCCAAATCGCCTTCTCCCAAATCGCCATCCCCATCCCGCTCCTCCAGTCAGCAACTACAGCATCAGGACAGCAATACGAGTGTCTCGAGTGAGGTATCGCGACATATACCCGCTCAAACAGAGGAACAAGAGGGGTCGAGAAGTTCATCGGTCACATCGTCCGAGCCAGAGATGACACACGTGCATCCTGAACCCATGGTAGACTCTCCACCACTATCCATTAAAGTCCACGAGCATCGAGAGGACTGTGTCGTGCCTGTCAGCCCTCAAGACCTGCTCTCAGCTACCAGCCCCATAGCACCTCAAACATTCGAGGAATCAGCGCGCGAAGACAGCGGTCCTCCAAATTTACCAGAGATTCCGCCTATCCCGCAGGAGCCACCATTTGTTGATCTGATGCAATTCTCCGACAAGGCCCAGCGCAAAGCTGCAGAGAAGGAGCACGACCAGGCCCTTAAAGTATATCAGAAAGCTGTGAAGACACGCAACAAGACGATCAATGAACGGACCAAGATGGAAGAGAAATGGGAAAAGGAAAAAGCAAAAGAGAAGAAGGACCGAGAGAAGGAAGAGAAGAAGAGGCAAGAAGAGCGGGAGAAAGCAAGGAAGGAGCAGGAGAAGGAAGAGATGAAGAAGGCTGAAGAGGCAAACAACATGTCAGCAGAGGACAGGCAAAGGCAGAAAGAAAGAGAACAGCGACAAGCGGAGGCAGAGCAGAGGGAAGAAGAAGCGCGGCAAAGGCAACGAGAGGCAGACTTGCGCGATGGGAAGATACCCGCAGAAGATAAAGCCGAACCAAAGCGTGCTACCACTGACCTGGAAGAGGACATTGGTGCTATTGAACTGGGAGACGATGAGCCAGCTCAACACAACCACCAGCATCCATACGCCAACTACCAATTCTCCCGTAGCGGAATCATGCGTCAAGACACACCAGACGGCCGCGCCGATTCCTCCTACACCCTTTCCACAATGGACAGCCAGAACAGTCATCGACCAAAGACCGAGTCGGAAGAGAATGCGCCTGCCAAACCCAAGAAGCTCAAGAAATTCTGCATGCTACCACCGAAAGACGCAGATGGGAACAAAGACCCCACATGGATACGAGTCTTCATGGAGAATATGGACGAGGTGACAGCACATACCTCGCTTTTCTTCATCAACGAGACATATGAGAAGCTAGTAGGAGATGTCGGCGCAAGGATAGAAGACTGGGTCAGAGAAGCGGATAGCGTGCGGCTGGTACGCGAGATGAGTGAGATGGAAGACATGAAATCGTGATTCACCGTCCAAGATACCCGTGTATATATGAAGTTACCATAGATCATTCCAGCGTTGCACTTTCTAAGACTGCGTAGTACTGGTCCACCCCATCTGCGGCGCAATCGACATGACCCTGCCACCTACGACCAGCCCCCAAACACCCAGGCCCAGTATCCCTGATCCACCGTTCGCCATGCCCGCCCATACGCCTCCTGCTGCCGCCCATCCCAGACTCAATGTACCCAGCAATAACACCACAAGCTCACTACCCCGTATCGCTTCATTGAACTTCTCGACAAACGGGATTTTCGTCTGATTCTTGTCGTTCCAGAAGTTGTTCATGTGTACCCGAGCAAGGTACGCAGCTGCCGCGTTCGCCGCGCCAGCCCCAATAAGCACTTTTGTAGACGCGAGACTAGGTACGATGAGGAGGGCCGTGGAGGTGAGGAGGCTGAGTAGTAGCTACAACCATCTTGTTAGTTACACATATTCCCGCATTGGCCCTGACAGGGGGGTTACAAACCGTAACAGTCCCACTGGTCTGCGTCGACCGCGTCTTGTGCAGTCTTTGCGCCGCAGTATTTGACCATTCTGCAGCTTTCTCGCTCTGCTTTTCGTATTGCTGCAGGCGCGTTATGTTTTGGTAGGAGAGGTAGAGGCCGTAGGCGCTGAGGGCCGAGGTGAGGCCGAGTTGGAAGACGCTGACGGTGTAGATGGAGGGGGAGAACATGGTTGATTCAGAGGAGGGCGTCTGAATCAACGAAGGCGGTGGGGTTGGAGGGATTGTTGGTGATGTGCTTGCTGGGGTGGGTGTGAAGGTGTAGAAGGAAGTTTGGTGGAGGGACGGGACGCTACGTCATCGCGTTCTAGAACTTGCAGGGTTGAGGGGATGGGCTGCTGATGACTGTGTTGGAACGCGATACCAACGCGACGCGACAACGCGAACACATTCGAAACGCTCTTGCTTTGTAGAGTAGACCTATCGCATCTGCTTCATATCCCTATCGATACCCAACTTCGGCTCATGCGCCAACTTCGAGAAAAGGCAGACTAATCAGCTTCCGTCACAATTACTATGCATGCTGAAGACTACGACGAGTCCGTCGTGTGAAAATGCAGGTTCCATACCCTCGCATTTGGTGGCTTGCCCTGTTGTTTGTGGTTGTTCAAACTCCTTATTATCCATAGTTCCCTCGGCACTGTTCCCGAGGTCTGCTCGGCTTCAAAAGATATCCCGAGATTCTAGCGCTATATTCAAAAGCCGACCGGCTACGGATAAGGAGCATGTTTCCGGCCTGCCTTTTCTCACAACATCGCAAACATGGCTTGTGTCGTTCCTCCTGTGCTATCCAAGCCATTGTTAAGTCATGCTTACTACTAAACTTGCAGCGCGAAGGTACCCTCTACATCGATGTAGCAATTCGTATGCGAGGAGTCTGGCTTCGCTTGCACCGCGCGTGTCGATCAGCCCTCTCGATGCAGGCATATCACTCGACTACGACCGACAGGTCTTGCAGCTCAAGTCTGTTAGACATGGCTCCCCGCGCCCGTTGACCTTGACGGAGAAGGTGCTGTACAGTCACCTCTATACTTCCGCTGAGCACCACTGGTCTCTGGATGAAATCAGGCGTGGAGAGACGCTGCTGCACCTCCGCCCAGACAGAGTCGCATGCCATGATGCGACGGCTACTATGGCATTGCTACAGTTCATCAGCGCAGGCCTCCCGAAAGTCCAGATCCCCACAACAGTGCACAGCGATCACCTCATTGTATCGCGCGACGGCGCCGAGGAGGACCTTGTCCGTGGAAGAGAAGAGCATCGCGAGGTTTACGCGTTTCTTAGTAGCGCAGCGAAGAAATACGGAATCGGCTGGTGGAAACCGGGTGCCGGCATCATCCACACCACCATCTTCGAGAATTATGCGTTTCCTGGAGGCCTGATCATCGGGACGGACTCGCATACGCCCAACGCCGGCGGCATGGGAATGCTTGGCATTGGGGTTGGGGGTTCTGATGCAGTCGATGCGATGGCTGGTATGCCCTGGGAGCTCATGTGCCCACAGATCGTAGGTGTCCGACTTACTGGTAGCCTGCATGGATGGGCCTCGACAAAAGATATCATCTGCAAACTCGCCGGTATACTGTCTGTTTCAGGCGGAAAGGGCAAGGTGATTGAGTTCTTTGGCCCAGGTACGCAGACCTTGGGTGCCACGGCCATGGCAACAGTCTGCAACATGTCAGCTGAAATTGGATCGACTTCCTGTATCTTTCCCTACTCCGAGGCCATGAATCGGTATCTCTCGGCGACGAAGCGGAAAGATATCGCGCGTCTTACAAACAGCTACAAGGATATTCTGCTGACCGCAGATGATGGCTCCGAGAAGCACTATGATACGGTTATCGAGATTGACCTAGACTCTTTAGAGCCACATGTCAACGGACCCTTCACTCCGGATCTTTCGCATCCTCTTTCAGAACTGAAGGATGCTGTAGCAAAGAACGATTGGCCTGTCGAAGTCAGTCATGCCATGGTAGGCAGCTGCACCAACAGCTCATACGAAGATCTATACAAGACGTCCCAGCTTGTCGAGCAGGCCAAGGCTGCTGGGCTGCCGAAAGTGAAGACACCGTTTCTGGTCTCTCCAGGCAGCGAAGACATACGCGCGACTGCAGAGGCGGAGGGTATACTGCAAACATTGCGCGAGGCAGGTGCTGTTGTGCTGAGCACAACTTGTGGCCCTTGCGTAGGGCAATGGCAGCGTACAGACGTCGATGTCAAAGGCCGCGAGAGAAACACCGTGATTTCCAGTTTCAATCGCAACTTCGTTGGTCGGCACGACGGCAACCCAGAGACCTGTTCATTTGTGACTTCTCCAGAGATGGTGACGGCTTTTGCCTACTCTGGAAGGTTAGATTTTAATCCTGTCATCGACTCTCTTCAAATCGAAGGGTCAGCGCAGGGGTTCCAGTTTACAGCACCAAAGAATGTCGAGTTGCCCATGCAGTTCGTTGTGGGCGAAGATTTCTACCAAGCTCCAGTTCATGACGCCGACGATGTGGCAGTCGACATTGACCCACAATCTGAGCGGCTGCAACTACTCGAGCCCTTCAAACCCTGGTCACCCGGCTCGACGAAAGACATGCCGATTCTCGTCAAAGTCCAAGGAAAGTGCACGACCGATCACATTAGCCCCGCAGGCCCGTGGTACAAGTTCCGTGGTCATCTTGAGAACATCAGCAACAACATGCTTCTTGCAGCTTCGAACGCCTTCCTAGGTTCCGACTCCAAGTTGCTCGGCCACACGGTCCACCCGCTAACCAGCGAAATCGGACTTGTGCATGAAGTCGCCCGAGACTTGCGCGATCAACGTGTAAACTGGTGTATTGTCGGGGACTTCAACTACGGAGAAGGGTCATCGCGTGAGCATGCAGCACTAGAACCGCGTTTCCTCGGTGGTGTCGCGATCATAGCGCGCTCTTTTGCCAGGATACACGAAACCAATCTGAAGAAGCAGGGCATGCTGCCTCTGACGTTTGCAAATACCCAGGACTACGATCGCATCCAGTTGGGCGATCGCATTACGCTACAAGGTGTTGAAGACGGCGAGCTACGGCCGGGAAGGCAGGCTAGCATGCGTGTGGTGCGCGCGAATAATGCAGAAGAGTGGGTCGCGCCGCTCAACCATAGTTACAGCAACGGTCAATTGAAGTGGCTGAGAGCGGGGAGTGCGCTGAACCATATCAAACAGACGGTCTTGGGGAGATGATGCGGCAGACTGGAGTTGGAGGTGTGGTTTGGGGTAGGCCCCCGGGGAGACAATTGCAACCTTGCAACATCAACAAACTCAAAAGTCTCCACTCGATGTCGACATCAGCGATACTAGCCATTGAGTTATATGACTACCTCGGCGCTTTTGGCTGGACCGCTCGGTCTAGGGGGGTTAGATAATGTAAAGACGCCACGGAACCCCGCGGTCATCGCCTCGATTCTGATTGGCGGAAGTCCCACGCTGATCTACCAACGCAGGCCGACGCGTTCCTGGAGCCCTAGAGCCGTCTCCCGTAAGCCGTGAGCGGGCAGCTAGTTCGAGGCACCTATTGACTGTACGTGGTTTCGACGACTAGTATCGAGCATCAATTGACCTTTCGCAATGGCTCAAAGAGTGCTTCTTCGAACAGGCCGGGGCTTGTCGCTCGCGCCTCGCTCCCTGCAGATCACCCGCTCCTTCAGCACCGTTCTCGATACCCCTGTCGACCCTGGAACTCAACAATTACGCTCACCAGCGCGGACAGGCTCCGTCTTCGAGAATGCGCTCAATGCAAGTGCTCCCAGGACCAGCTGGACGAAGGAGGAGATCACTGAAGTCTACAATACTTCGTTGATAGACCTTACACATGCAGCGGTGTGTCACACAGCTCTATCACTATTTGGATGGACAATGTCTCATCAATCCCGTTGTAGGCTTCGGTGCACCGGCGCTTCCATGACCCCGCCGCCATCCAGATGTGCACACTGTTCAACATCAAGACTGGAGGCTGCAGCGAGGATTGCTCCTACTGTGCGCAGTCATCGCGTTACGACACAGGATTGAAGGCTACGAAACTGTCATCAGTTGACTCAGTCCTGGAAGCTGCGCGGGTTGCAAAAGAGAATGGAAGCTCAAGATTCTGCATGGGAGCTGCCTGGCGAGACATGCGAGGCCGCAAGACCAATCTCAAGAACATCAAGGAGATGATAAAAGGGGTTCGCGGCATGGGTATGGAGGCATGTGTCACTTTGGGTAAGCACCAAGTTTACGAACTGCATGTCAGACACACACTGACTTCATGTTCTTACATGATAGGTATGGTCGATGCCGCGCAAGCAAAAGAGCTCAAAGACGCTGGATTGACTGCATACAACCACAACGTTGATACCAGCCGGGAGCACTACCCCAGTGTCATCACCACTCGCACGTACGACGAGCGACTCGCCACCATCAAGAACGTCCAAGAAGCCGGCATTCATGTGTGCACCGGCGGTATCCTTGGTTTAGGCGAGAAGGCTCGCGACCACGTCGGTCTCATCCACACCGTCGCAACACTACCAGCCCATCCCGAGAGCTTCCCCGTCAACGCCCTAGTACCGATTAAAGGCACTCCCCTCGGAGAAACACAAGCCATCTCCTTCGACGCCATTCTCCGTACCATCGCTACCGCACGACTCGTTATGCCGACCACCATCATCCGTCTCGCGGCTGGCCGCCACACAATGCGCGAGGAGAAGCAGATTATGTGTTTCCAAGCGGGCGCCAATGCCGTCTTCACTGGCGAGAAGATGTTGACTACTGCTTGCAATGGTTGGGAAGAGGACAAGGCTATGTTTGGCAGGTGGGGACTGAGGCCGATGAAGATGGAGGAGACAATTGGAGAGCAGCGCAAGCTTCCGGGACAGGATGAAGCTGAAGCGGTTGTCGCGGCGGCTGAGGCTGAGGCTACGGTTCAGGCACTTGCTTGAGGGCAGGAATGATCTATGTAGAACGATCATCACGGAGTTACCATGCAGCAAAGTACTGCAATGCTGAGCCGTATGATTCTCTCAATTGAAGCTAAAGTTTGGCTTGCACACCCGCTTCTTGTACAGGACCTTGTGACTGCTCGCCTGCCTGACTCTCGCACCATTTCCCAAGCAATGCTACCAGTCTATCCACCTCCGCTGATGTGTTGCCAGCGTGTAAGCAGATCCTTACTCTAGCAGTTCCCATCGGCACTGTTGGCGGTACAACCGCCCGGACCATCATCCCATGAGTCTGCAGAAAGCTCGCCAGGACTTTCGGTTTTGCCAGTTGTACTGCGAATATGGGCGATCTTGGGCATGCACTTGGAATCGTGAGTGTCCGACAAGCTAAGTCTGAATTATTCTGGAGATGACCGAGTCTGGTATAGAGATGCTGGGTAAGATGCTGTAGATGAGCTTGCAGCCCAACACTCTTTCCAGACTGGAGTAGCCGGTACGAAGATCGTATGAGCGCCAGCGAGGGGTAGGACAGGAACGTCGTGTAGATGAGTGGACGTGCATAGTTGATGAGGTAATGACGCAAGGTGTCTGAGCCGAGAATGATTGCTGCAAAACGCTTAGTACCTGTGCCATACTTGTAAGCAACAGAAGGAAACTCACCTCCGTTCGCCGCTACCGCTTTCCCGAATGTGTGGAGCCGTGCGAATATGCGTTTCTCGAGGCCTAGCTCACATACCAAACCTCTACCCTCTGGTCCTAATACACCAGTAGAATGCGCCTCGTCGATGACGATGTATCCTCGTTCAGGGCCCAAGACTTCTTCTACGACCTCCACCATCTCTTTCAAAGGGCATACGTCCCCGTCCATACTGTAGATGGATTCCAATGCCACAAACACATTACAGCTCTTGTCTTGCACACCCTCATTCTCACCAAGAACCGCTATCAAAGCATTCTTTAGGGCGGATATGGAGTTGTGTTCAAAAGCAATCGTCTTCCCCGCTCGTGATAACCTCATGCCATCATGAACGCTTGCATGTACAAGCTCATCATAGACTATCACGTCTCCCGGCTGCGGTACACTCGCAAAGAAGCCCGCGTTTGCATCAAAACCACTGTTAAACAGTAGTCCAGATGCAGCTCCATGGAAGTTGGCAATCTCTTGCTCCAATTGTTCGGCGTACGTCGAGTTGCCATCTAGGAGTCTTGACCCGCCGCTACCCAATGGCAAATCAATTCTTTGCAGCTCTTGAAGGTACTCCGATTTGAGTTGTGGCGAAGTGGATAGCGACAGAAAATCGTTGGACGAGAAGTCGGTCTGATTTTGAAGTGGTAATGTCAGATTACGGAGTGTTGCGTTTGTCCGTCGGCGATCGAGTAGTTCTTGTAACCTGATTTGCAACGGCGCCGAATGCATTTTGCTCCCCATTTCTTCCTGTGAAGGTGATGATAGGAACGCCTTTGACCCACGATAACGTGACCTCCAGTGATGGTGTGGAGCTGACCAAATGGCTGGCGTGGTAGGATCAGCGGAAAGCGGGAAGGAAGCGTGGGGTCTGCCGCGGCTATCCGCGTCGTCGAAAGCTGTCAAAAGTAAAAACATACTCATTAGCTAAAAGACCGCATAAGCTGACCCCTCGATGCCGTCGGAGATGCGGCTTGACTCATTACATTTGTACCTGCATGTTTAGCGTCGGTGTGGACGCGGAACCACTAGCGCACTCTCCGCATTGGACAGCATGCAGGTGCAGCCATCTACCATAGCACCTTCCTCGACTCACCACTATCTGGAAGTAAAAAAGAAATGGCGAAGGTGCCAGGAGGGTTGTGGACGAACGCGATTGCTGTTCAGGTCTATGGTGCCAACACGGGAGTTGGCAAAACAGTTTTCTCGACGCTCTTGGGTGCGCATTTCGGTAGGGCAAGCCTCAAGAGCAGGGCATCGCCGTTACGCCACGGGCCTTACAAAGTACAATATATAAAGCCTGTATCTACAGGCCCAGCTGATGAAGCCGACGATAGGTCAGTGTGGTGATGCGTGATCCGACAGATATTTGGGACATAAGGGCTGACTGTACGCTAGCTATGTGCACAAGTACACTGGCCAGCGTGTTTCTACACTCTTCAAATTCGAGAAAGCTGTGAGCCCGCATGTTGCGGCAAGGGGTTCGAAAAACATTGTGAGTTCTACCTTTATTGTCGTGCTTTCGCCAACAGCGATTGACTAGCAAAGCCCAGCGATGAGCTCATCAGCCAAACGGTGTTCAAGACGGTCCAGAACGCAGCAGGCACATTAGATCAGGGCAGACTCTTTTCGATAATTGAGACAGCTGGAGGAGTTCTGAGCCCAGGACCTTCCGGCACCCCACAGGCGGATATCTTTCGACCACTACGACTTCCTGCGGTGCTCGTAGGCGACCACCGGTTAGGTGGCATCGCCTCTACTATATCAGCTGCGGAGTCCCTGATCATGCGAGGATATGATATCGATGCCGTTGTGTGTTTCGACGACAAGAGCCAATATGAGAACGCGGATTACTTAAAGAAGTATTTCATGGATATGGGTATACCAGCTTACAAACTACAATGGATTCCGAATCTCCAAGGTGTTGCTCCAGGTACCGAAGGAGAGAAAGAAATTATGCGGAATTACTACGACACGGAAAGCGATAGTACGATAGTAGGAAAGGTTGCCGAGGACCTGATTCATCGCCACGACCAGCGACTCAGCCGCCTAGGATCCATGCCGTACGAAACCGAGGACAAGATTTGGCATCCTTTCACACAGCACAAGCATGTGAAGAACGCAAACGACATACTAGTCATCGATTCGGCATATGGCGACTTCTTCCAGGTCAAGCACAAGGGAAATGAAGAGGTGCCCCATCCTGAGAACCAGACCTTGTACCCAGCATTTGACGGCTCCGCATCATGGTGGACGCAAGGTCTTGGACACGGTAATCCGCGATTGGCACTGGAAGCAGCATATGCAGCAGGACGCTATGGTCATGTCATGTTCGCCGGCGCCACACACGAACCAGCTCTCACTCTAGCGGAAAAGATACTTTCGGGCTCGCCACGAGGGACTCGTTTGAGGAAAGTGTTCTACACAGACAACGGAAGTACAGCGACAGAAGTCGGTATCAAAATGGCGCTTCGTGCGTCCAGTAAGCGCTATGGCTGGGATAGCGCGAAAGAGGCCGTTGGCGTCCTTGGACTCAAAGGCAGCTACCACGGAGACACGATTGGGGCCATGGATGCCTCTGAACCTTGTGTCTTCAACGAGAAAGTCGACTGGTATCGCGGTCGCGGATTCTGGTTTGACTACCCGACCTTCAAGCTCAAGAATGGCCAATGGGTAGTCGAACCGCCTAAGGGCATGGAAGAAGAATTGGGTCCAGCTCAGAACTTTGAGAGTCAAGACGGGATATTCGATTTCGCTACCAGAGGTAGATCGGCGCAGTACGAGGCCTACATAGAGAGAACACTAGACGAGCTGGTCAAGAAGCAAGGCAAGAAGTTCGGTGCCTTGGTACTAGAGCCTGTCGTCCTCGGAGCCGGAGGTATGCTATTCGTGGACCCGCTTTTCCAGCAAAGCTTAGTGCGCGTCGTCCGTCATTACGACTTTGCAAACGGCTCCAAGGTTACGGAATCTCCGAAGGAGGAGAATGCTTGGTCTGGTCTTCCTGTCATGTTTGATGAGGTGTTCACTGGTTTGTACCGTCTGGGCCGCTTCTCTGCGGCCTCATTCCTTGATATCCACCCGGACATAAGCGTGAATGCGAAGCTGCTTACGGGAGGTTTGCTTCCGCTTTCGATTACCAGCGCCAGCCAATCCATCTTCGAGGCTTTCTTGGGCGACGAGAAATCGGAAGCTCTCCTGCATGGACATAGCTATACCGCTCATGCAGTCGGGTGCCACGTTGCAAACACAAGTCTGGACATCATGGAGAAATTGAACTTGGGCCATGAGCGGAACTTGGCCGAGAACGAGGACAAGATGGTAAGCCATGATAACGGCAATCGTGTGTGGAGTATGTGGTCCGACTCCTTCGTGGCAAGCGTCTCAAATCATGAGAGGGTTGAGTATGTGAACGCGCTGGGTTCAGTGCTGGCCGTATCGCTCATTGACGAAGGCGGCTCCGGTATGTCGATCTTTTCTCCTCCAAGCTTCTTAATTAATGTGATCTAGGCTATACTTCCTCTGCAGCGGTCGGCCTTCGCGATTCTTTACTCCACGATGTTTCTGAATCACAGGTACAGATTCATTCGCGCATACTGGGTCATGTCATCTACCTTATGGCGAGCATGACTGCGACGCGCTCTCAACTAGCCCCTATCGAAGCGGCATTTATGGAAAAGTTGGGAAGCGTTACAAAGGCTTGAAGAGGTGTTGTAGCCTTGATGTACCTTGTGCCACTCCTATTCACAGCCCGCATGTAGACATTTAACGCGAAGCTTTGTGTCACTACCCTCAAGGTGCACAGGAGTCGCGCGGCTAACTAAAACAAATAATGAACCGTTTGCGAAGTTGAAAACTCATCACGTATCCTGAGCGGCATAATTACCAGTATCCCGTCACCTCATATGCGCTGGACGATTTCGCCAATCACAACGACCGCAAACTTGCTCAGTCATACGAGTAGCGTGTGTCAACCCTCTTTTTAACCGGGCAAAAACAACGTCGGTGCGCCTCGTCAGCCACGAGTTGCATATCTTATTCCCGCTGCCGGAAACACGTTCATAGGTGATGAGTTTGCTGTAGCATACCGCAATATGAGCAAGTATCTGCGATTGAGCACCCGGAAGTGCACTATCCTGACCTCTCATAGACCCCACTGCCGCGTTCTGACTTCTGTATAACATATAAACATGTGGGTCGCGAGTGTTGCTGGTGACGAAAGCAATTAGGTGTCCTTGAAGTGATAAACACTGCTACCCTTGACCGGCTGTCGGACTGGCGACCTTGAGACTGGAACAAGCTACCACCTTACGAACGAACACCGCAAAATTCGGACCATGATGTCGATGGATTCCATGCACAGTGGTGGTACACCATGGCTCACTCAACCCGTTATGCTACATTCCTCTCGAAAGTACACCTGCAGTCTCAAAAGCGACACGCTTTGTAAGTGGCAGCAAGGGTACTGGAGATTTTGGTACGAAGCCGACCACAGGTATGCTCTTCCAACACTCGCATTCTTCATGGCGACCATCGTTCTCTTTGCCATCCCTTTTCTCACCTCGAAGCTCGTACGAAAACCTCCCCCAAAGATCAAGGCTGTGCGACAACTGCTTGCCATCTTTCGCTACCTCGCCTACCGTTCATATCGCATCCGGCCTTTGAACTGGAACTCCGCACCACTCGGCATTCTCATACTTGGGGCGATAGGCACAGTCTTCTTCGTCTGTATGACACTCGGTCCGCGACCGTACTATTGGCCCAACCAGAAGAGCCCTCCGATCTCATTCGGAGGCTCACCGCCGATCGCTACAAGAACAGGATGGATGTCGCTCGCTTGCCTACCCTTTATCATGGCGACGTCGACGAAAAGTAACATGATTACACTGTTGACGGGAGTATCGCATGAGAAGCTGCAGTTGTTCCATCGATGGATCAGCTATGCATGCTTTGTGCTTGCTTTGATGCATACATTCCCCTTCATTGTGTTCAATGTATGGAAAGGCACTATGGAGAGCGAGTGGCATACGGACGTATGCTATTGGACCGGTGTCATCGCTCTCATTGCGCAGGTTCGTGATCAAATCCGTCTCCCTCCCGTGTGGGATCTAGACTATGCCCAGAGGAAAGCTGATGAGCGTCCAGGCCTGGCTGACATTCGCTTCCAACTCCTACCTTCGAAATGTCAGCTATGAGTTCTTCAAAGCAACTCATTTCATCGCGGCCCTAGTGTTCGTCTTGTTCTTCTTTCTTCACTGCGACTTTCGGCTGTCGTCGTGGGATTATTTCATCGCAACAGGTGTCATCTATACATTGTGTTGGCTTCATAGCCACATGCGCATCTTTTTCCAGAACGGCATCAGAACGGCTGCCGTCAGCATGGTGTCGAACGACTTCGTCAAGATTTCAATCCCGATGAACGGCAGCTGGAAAGCGGGTCAACACTACTTTATCAGAGTCTTTGGCCTAGGTGTACATGGGATGACAACACATCCCTTTACGGCGTGCTCTCTTCCAGGAGCGACTCGCTCTCTCACGAACGAACTCGTCTTCTATATTCGACCGCAGGGAGGTTTTACAGCACGCTTGGCGAGGCACGCTCAGCAACATCCTAAGACAAGCCTAAAGGTGTTACTCGATGGCCCTTATAGCGGCATAGACATGAGGAGAGTTGCCGCAAGCCAAAATACTGTGGCTGTTGCTGGTGGATCTGGTGCTGGCTGGCTTTTGCCGCTAATTGAAGCGTTCCTGCGGCAGGGTGAGCACCAGGCTGCAGTGAGCGCAACAAACCCGCACCGCGACGGCGACGAAGATCTCAGCAGGAAAGCTGCGATGAAAGTGATACTAGCGACAAGAGATTCGCTGACCAGGAATTGGTTCGAGCAGGCCGTCATGGAGCTAGTAGCGAACAAGCTGAGCGGACGTCGCTGTGACGAATTGAGCGTGGACATCTACTACACCGGTGAGGAGGACCATAATAGTGCCATCGGAGGCCCGAGTAAATCGGAAGAGAAGTCTCAAGTTTCGAATGAGAGTGTTGGCTCAGGGACGAAAGCGTTGTCGACAGATGTACGTCGCTCAGAGGAAGCCGCATCAAACATCATCCAGTCTGCGCTCACCCCAAAGCATGTATCGCAACGACCGGACCTTCCAGCCATCATCTCCGACGCAACAGAGTATGGAAGTGAAAGTACGTCTGTACTGGTATGCGGCCCGTTGAGTATGCAGAGCGATGTGTCGAACGCTGTTGCTCGTGCGCAGATCGGTGGCATGAAGGATGGGAAACGGGATGTGTATCTGCACATGGAACACTTTTCGTGGGCTTAAGCGTCAGGACAAGAGAATAGTACGATTTAGAGCGATTTGCATGTGCACTGAGAACCGTCTGCAAATGGAAGTCGTGTTAGGTGGCATCAATTGATTATCGTGGATTGATTACAATGACGTAATGCCCGCGCTGAATCACCTCGTTTGGGCCAAATGGCCTAAGAACTCCGCTGCAAGCCTCAGCAACTCCTCTACATCCAAATGGATGGCCTACCGCTGCCAGTTTCAGGAACCCGACGGTTTTGCGAGCCATGTATGAAACACATTGTCAGCGACGATGCTGGGGCCAACCGGGTGACGCATACATTTCCACCGTTCCTCAGTACGCGTCATACACCATTGATCACGAAGAAGCAACCAGGTGTCACCATCGCTTCCTACCCCAAAATTAGTGCCGTTTGAGAGATGGTACAACATGTCGAGCACGCAGACGCCGTGCGATTATCTTAGGACTGGCTGAGCTGGCTTCTCAGAATGCGTCAATGGGCCACGACAGGCGCACGGGAAGTTGACCAAACACGGCAGAGATATCGTTCCGGTCATTCAAAAAGCTTGCCGACGTCAAACTCAGCATCAGTCCCGTTCCGCACTAGGACCTTCACGCATGTTGTCGAAGACGGTACCATTTAATATTTCATCCTTGTAGGCGAGTTCATACTGCGGCCACACCTCGGTGTCAGTGATTTTGGACCAGATCCTACGTGATAAGACTCGCATGCACGACTATCGGAAGTAAGCCTCCGTCCACATCGACGACTCGAAGCCGCAGAAGCAAATTCGTGCACGCGATGCAGCGAGATGCCTATTCTGAGACGACGAAGCCGTAAGAGCCTCCAGGAGCTACAACCTCTTTACTGCTGGCGTCTGTAGAACGTCGCATCCGCCGAAAGATGAGGAATCAGCGCAGCTTCAGTTCGCATGGGTTCTGGCCGAGGCTGTCTTATAATAGCGGGTCATTGCACGTCCCGTGGCTTAGCAGTGCGGCTTCTGCCGTCCTGAAAGGTTCACCCGAGCGGCGAACCCCTGTCTGGAACACCCCAGCTACACCCCCACGGCTCTCGGTTTCATGAGAACAACAATACAGGTTTGCCGGTTTACCGGTCTACTACTGGGATGGCTAGACACTTCGAACGGCCTTGGAGTTGATAGCTGGGCATCATTCGTGTGTGAGTTTATCTTCAACGTGGTGGCATGCCAGGAGCACAAATCTCAGCTGAAGCTGTGGGCACCGCATATCCCAGATTGACGTATTGGGACGCACCGACCTGCAGGCCAAAAGCTACGCTGGTTCGACCCGTGCGAAAATGCTCATAGCACTGGGATGTCATACTCCTGGGGACTTTCGGGTGACTTCCAGGCTCAAGAGATGTGTGATTGCAATCTCTCAGCCTTACTTCATCCTAGTCAGTCTCGGGACAGACCAAGCGTGGCACCCTCGGTGCTGTGATACCTACAGGGCGTTTACTGGAGACCCGCCAAGCTCAAAGGATGGTTATGGTTGGGTCGCAGGTTACATGTGACGGGCAAGCCATGGGGTCCCTAGGACGTGGTACGCTGTCGATATGTCGGCCAAATGAGAAGAGAGGACCTGAAGCTCAATGTTGCTTGGTGCGGCCTATATTTCGCCTGTCTGCACCAATGCGAAGTATTTGTTGACCGTCCGGCTATTGACAAGTCTTCTGTACCAACAGTACTCTGGAGCGACAGTCAAAATGTATCACAACTACTCCAAAAGTATGATGGTCGCACTGGCCGTGGCTTTCATGGTACTGCCATTCTTCTTCGTTTGTTTGCGTTTATGGGCAAAAAGGATCGCTAAGCGCGTGGGTTGGGACGACTTTCTCACGGTTGCTGCTTTGGTAAGAGATTTTTGAGCAGTTCAGTGTGTATTGCACCCTCTGACTGAGGGTTGATAGGCTGTGTCTATGGCTTGCTGCTCCTTACAGTTAGCTAGTAAGTGTTTCGAATGGAAGGCATTTTATAAACTTACGCCAATTGATAGCTGCGATACACGGCTACTTAGGTTCTCATCAACCACTGGATGAAAAAGGCCAGCCCATTATGGACGATCCGGGATTGATATTCTTTGAGCAGGTAAGTACACCCAGCTGCTGATAGCAGTGCAATTGCTGACTTCTCTAGACGAAGTTTGCTTTGAACATGATCTCTATTATTGGACTAGGTCTTGTCAAATCGTCGATTTTGGTATTGTACAAGAACATCTTTGACGTACGAAAGTTTCGCATCGTGGTATACTGCGTGCTTGCGTATGTCGTATGCTGGACCGTCAGCTTCACATTCTCGCATCTATTCACTTGTTACCCCATAACGGTATTTATTGAACCGTACTATGGGAATAGTTGTGTCGAAACCGTGCCAATGTTTTTGGCCCTACTTGTAAGCTACTGTCTCTCACTCAGCATAATGATTTCGATTCCAGGCTGACCATGTTACCAGTACACGGGTGTCTTCGCAGACATTGTCATCCTTATTCTTCCTATCCCGATGGTTCTGAGTGTCAGAATGGAGGCCAAGAAGAAGCTAGCCGTGATCGCAATGCTTTCACTTGGAGCTGCGTAAGTCTTATTCCGTCTCGTACGTCATTGTGTTCAAGACAACTGAGTCGTACAGAGTATGTGCTGTCAGCATCACACGGGTTGTGGCGACTTACTCGATCGCCGGCGAATACCTGAAGCATCCCGACGACGTCATTTATTACACAGCACCGGTGTTCTTTTGGACCAACATTGAACTATCTTTGGGTGTTGTTTGCGCCTGTTTGCCCACGCTCCGGCCCATTTGGTTTTACTTCTATCCTCGCGAAGCAACACAAACTGGTTCGAGCTACGGATACGGATCGTCAGGTCACGGCTTTGGCTCATCCGCGCTGAACGGCACCACGAAAAGTACTACGTTTGGCGGCAAGTTGGTACGCAAGCCATACCAGGAGATTGACGAGATCGGTACGTAATGCATGACGTCCCGTAAAGCGCTCCACTAATGCTATGCAGAGCTGACGGCGCGCTCTGAAGCTCCTTCTACGCCTCCCGAAGACGCCTCAACGCTAGGCAAGCGCGGTATCACGAAGGAAATCACGATTCACCAGACGTTGGGATGAATGTGTTCCCACAAAGGGCGTCTATCTCGGTGCAAACAAGAAGCGCCGGTGTTAGCATATTGAACCGCGAATCCTACGATACTCCGCTCGGTATATGTCTCGGAACTGGTTGCTCAAGGTGGTCTCCAGGCTATTGGCGTAGCATATGCATTATCTTTTGATTGGATTGGCATCCTTCTCGCAAAATACTGCCGAGTGCCAAGTTCATCGGCGAAATATATCTTGCATACCACCGACAACACTTCACAGACACCCTGTTCCTGCAGCGCTGTCACCTTCCGAATCCTTCGATGGTGGTTCAATGCTACCTGGAATTCAACCCACGTGCGCAAGGATGGAACCGCCTAAAGAACTACGGCCCACGTCATGCTCTCAACATGGCTCGCTGAACTCTTGCGAAAGTCTTGTGTGGAGACACTGTGCTGGTGTGCTTTAGGGTAACGCACGGGTCCGGGGCCGTCGGAGGACATATAACCGAATGCGGCTGCGCCCGCGGTAACCGGGTCGATTGCGAACGAGTACGGCAGATAACCGCGTCGGTGACTATACCTAACCCAGCGCGGATTTAGTATGCAGGGACACTGGCTGCATCCCGTTTGTCGACTAGAGGGTCCACCGGGACGACAAATCCCTCGCCCTGACGACTTGTGGTCCGGGCATTCTATGCCACCATGCAGGTAGCCGAGAAAGTTTGATGTCAATTAAAAAGCACGTTGGGCCGTTACCCATTCGCTTGGTACTGTTAACATGAGGGTCTTATCATTACTGGTTTCTTTTGCCGCGGCGGTCTCTGCACTTGCTGTACGACAGACTGATGTCGCCAAGGATCTGGAGACTTTGGTCTCGTCGCCATCTTCGGTCAACGTCGAGGTTCGAGCACGTTGGAGTGATTACAACGCCCCCCTTCCATCTGTGGTCGTCCGCGTGCAAAATGACAAGGATGTAGCAAAGATAGTAGGTTCAGCCTCAACCAAATTGCTGGTACAATGGATCGTCGATGCTAATCCAACGAAAAGGTCAAATACTGTACGAAAACTGGGATACCGTTCCTTGCACAGAATGGCGGCATCGGATGGGGAAAGACTTTCAAGTTGGGGAAATGGGGAGTCCTGATCGACCTTGCCAATCTCAACAAAGTCGTTGTCGCTGCAGACAAGAAGACTGCCACTATCGGTGGCGGTGCAAGCATCGGAGACACGATTGCAGCAGCGAATACTGCAGGTGCATTGATCATCACCGGAAACTGTAACTGCGTTGGCGCTCTAGGTGCGATGCTCGGTGGCGGTTATGGCAATCTCATGGGCGAGGTCGGATTCGGAGTCGACAACATCATCTCCATGCGAGTGGTCATTGCATCAGGCGAAATACTTACCGCATCAGCCACGTCGCATCCGGAACTGTTCTGGGCACTTCGGGGGGCAGGACCCAATTTCGGAATCGTCGTTTCAGCAACCGTCAAGGCAACGCCCGCCACTAAAGAGGATCGCACAGCATACATCAACAACCTTTTCTTTTCACCCGACAAGCTCGAGCAGGTTGCGCAAGCGGTTGAAGAACTTCCCCTTACGCCCCAACAGCGAGTGTACCTTGTACTGACCTCTAGTGGGGAGCCACTTAACGAGCCTTCTATCCTCGTCACTGGCTTACTTCGTAAAGGCACGAACGAAACAGGACGCGAGGCCTTCGCTCCTTTCTACGACATCGGCCCCATTTCTGAGTCCAGTGCCATCACTACGTACGATCACTGGAACGATGCCAACATTGGCTTTTGCACTCGCGGAGGTCGCAAGCCCTCGTACAGCTCCACCATCATGGGCATGAACGCACAGAAGTGGCCCGAGATCTGGGAGCTTTACAAAGGCTTCCAGGCCAAAGGTCCGAACTCCGCCGTCCTCATCGAGCGCTACAACTTGACCAAGGCCATGTCGGCACCCGTTGGCTCGGCAGCAATGAATGAAGCACTCAGGAGGGATGCGTTCTCGCAGGCTATTGTCATACCGTGGTATGATGATGCTAGCCTCGATACTGAGGCCCTAGAATTTGGAAGCAAGGTCAGGGCTCTTTGGACAAGGAGCGATAATCCCAAAAATGACCCCACGTAAGTTTCTGCTGCCACAATCGAAACGAACTAGTGCTCACAAGATATACAGCTATGCCAACTTCGCCTTTGGCGACGAGACGAACACTGCTATCTACGGGTCCAGTCTTCCAGAGCTGAAAATACTCAAGAGAAAATACGACCCGAAGGGAGTGTTCAGTCAGTGGTTCCCGATAAAACCATAAGTGATAGATAGCGTCCATGCCCAGCTTTCAGGCAAAAGCAATACAATTAATGCCTATTCCGACTACCTAGTGTGTCCAACCTAAAATACCGTGCATCTTATCGTGTACCCGTCCATCATCCCCCAAACTCAACCTCTCTAATCCACCACAAATCCCACGTACCATTGTTTGCCTCAACCAGTCCAACCGTCGAATTCGAGCTCCAGTCCTCGTACCCACCATCCGCCGAGTTCGTCGCCCTCACCCTACGCGTAGTACAGCCCCATAAACCTGCGTCGGTCTCCGCTCTATTCAAGGCATCTTTTGCTCTACTCCAGCAATCAAAGACCTGGATTGCGTTGCCGACCCAGGAATGCTGCGGAACCATTTGGAGAGGCCAGGCGGAGCAAGTGGTGCGCATCAGGACGTATTGGCTTATGCGCGGGCGTGGAGGCTTCGGTGGTGGGGGATATGGGAGGGGGGTATTGGTTGCGGGAGTGATGTGTGAGGGCATGTCTGTTGAGTATTGGGATGGCTTGGGGTATTCTGTGTTCTTGTTGAGATTGAGATAATGTTTGCTCTAGGTGATGAATTGTATTCTTAGGGTATATTGGAGATCACGAGACATCTTCATGAGACACATGCATGCGGCCCGTAGACTCACATACCAGCGTGATATTCCGCTAGCTCAACCCAGTACAGCCTCTCGTGCTGTACTCCATCCTTCATCTCCATCCCAGCCAGGACACCGAAATCGGAAAGCGGCTCACCGTTACTGGCCGGCCCACCATTTACCAGCTTGTACATTCCCGGCGTGATGCGAGCTATCGCAGCTGAGACGTCGCCGGCAGCACGCATGGAGTCTCGGAGTTGAAGCATCTGAAGTCGGAGGAAACTGGCCGATGGAAGCTCGTGTGCCCACACGCCGAGTGGCTCACCCTGCCAGGGAGGGGAGGTAGGAGAGGGGAATGGGGAGGGTGGGATGGGGCGAATCAGTGTCATCAGGACTAATGCTTTGGGTCTGAGGTCGGTAGACACTGTGTACACCTCCGTCGCCATCGGGTCCAAGATTTGGCCAACGTAAAGTGGAAGTTGATAGACACATCGGATTGATAAACCGGTGCCAATTAGTTGCCAGTTTAAAGTTTGCTGAGCTGCCGTGACTAGGTCATGAGGCGTGTGCTAACACGCATGTCGTTGCCTATAAGTTGCTTTGTCGGCAGCGCAATTCTTTCCCGACAAGTATCTTTCTTCTACAGATATGGCAGCGAATTCGGCAGATAGTCCATACACTGTCGTCGTCATGAGCCTCTCTTATCCCCTGAACACGCCCGTTCCACGAACGTGGGTGGGTAAGCCGGTTTACACCTACTCTGGACGCGGAGCAGGCCTGGGTCACCCTGAGCTAGATTATGCGATGGATAAAGAATACGATAGGATGGAGCCGGAGAACCGTCGGCGATTTCAGATGGAAGATGCAGAGGACGCTGCCTTCATGTTGGCGGCTGGCGGGCCCGCTGTGCGATTTGCTATATGCGGTCGGTGTAAAGAGGGCGAGGGGAGCAGGTCCGCAAATCGGTTGTATTGGACCGAGCGAATCGAGCTCGCCCAGAGATATGACGGTGGCATACCCGCAGCGCAAGCGGCTTCTTAAGATTTCGATTGATTCGTCGCGTGGCATTCAGTCAGAGTCTTGTGATAGCAGCTTCACAGCGAATGTCTGCTCTCCAAAGACATTCCTGAACGCGGCTATCCGCTTCTTGGTCATCCAAACTGTTAACACTGGTATCTTCCTCCTCTTCATCGTGTTGTTCTCATTTGACTGTTCATCCTTCTTCTGTGCACTCTGTGTCTTTTCGACGTCCGCGTCGCCCTTGTCCGTGGGCCTTGAAGTTTTGATCTCTCTGTCAACCTCGACGCTCGTGAGCATTGTATACATCCACCAAGCCTCGTCTTTCCCGTGTTCATCGTCCTCTCCACCACTCGGCGCTACGATGCGCCGAACCATATCGACTATGCCTACTAACTTGGTAGTGCCCTCGCCCTGAGCAGAAACGGCTATGATCACATCATCCTCTTTCAGAGCTTCGGGCATCTCGATTGTAGACGCTGGGTCTTTGTACGCGCCCAAATATGTCTTCAGCCTGTTGATACCAGACTTGATGTTCTGATTCTTCGAGAAGACGACGGGTACGATGTTCTGTGTGGCTCGCATGCGCTTCTGGGTTTCGGGGAGCTTGCGTAGCTCGGTAGGCAGCTGTGTCCATGGCTCGTAGAGGGAGGGATGGATGGTGTGAGGAGATGGTGGTTGCGATGGCTTCTTCGAGGCTACGCCATTAATCTTATCCTGCGCCTTTCGCTTCTTACTAGCTGTCGGTGCGTCCTCGGGTGCCCCAATGATGGGAAGGGTAGGTCCTTCGCTCGAGTACGGCGGGCTCGCCGTCACCGTCGTGGTGTTGGCGTCTTTTTCGGCCGACGATGCGAACATCTCACTCATGCGCTTTGCATTACCCATGTTTAACAGCGAGAGGCGCGCAATAGTCGAGGGTTGTGCAGTCACGCGCAACTGCGATGACGAAAATTGGACGCGCCAAAAATCTCAAGACGCGCCGCCGGAGATATCAGACTGCGCTAGCTTATCGCCGGCTGTGCCGCCCATCTCTCTCGACCATCTGATCTTTCAGCACACACATACAATAATCTTTGTCACCGCGACTTTTTATCGGAAAACATCAAAGAAACATTCTCTCTCTTTGTGATCTGTACATCATGACCGACGATGTAACTGAAATTCTGGGTCGCTTGAGCCTCGCTACACATGGCCATCGCCAAATCGACGCAGTGTATGTAAGTCGTGCTAAGCTGTATAGATGTCAGGCTTACGATGGAAGTGATCAGAATACCCCTTACACACCACCATTTCTTCGTCTGCCAACCGAGATTCGAGTCATGATTTACGAGCATGCGTTCGCCAACGAGACTATCCATGTACAACCAAAATCTACTGATCTACTTGGAGGCACATATCTCCTGCGACGTAACGCGATTCCAAGATACCAGCAAACTATCTCTCTTTTGATGACTTGTAGACACATCAGAAAAGAGGCGACTCCTACATTCAACGAGCTGGTCACCTTTGACCTGACACTCTACTACAACTGCATGGCGGCCGCCTACGAACTGGGACCAGATATCTGTCAAGCAATCAGAGCAATCAAAGTAGAACCGAGGCTTGCAAAACGCTTAGCGATAGGACTCCAACAGGGTGCCCCCTCTGCCACTAATTATAGGCATCTGTTGCCTTCCCTACAGCGGGTGCATATCCAACAGACTTCTATATTCGGGCTACTCAGTATGAGCCCTGACTTGGCTGTGAGAGCTCTGCGATTGTATTTTGGAAGTAATGATCTTGAGGTTATATTCAGTAAGAGGTGAGCTCCTCTGCACGAGCAAACGGAGCGATGGACCCTGGATAATGAGAGCAGCGCTCACCGCCCTTGCGCAGCTTCACCTACTCACACAACCCGTGCCAGGACTGAAATTTGGGCGTCCTCTCCTTCTTAATCATGATTCTCACTCAGTCGCAGAGCATTGCCGAGCGGCTACGTGAGCGCAAGTAAGGACGGACCCAAGGTCTTCACTGATTTGAGCTAACGATATCCCAGAACGCAATCAAATCAACGCGAATCCCGGTTTCTTCGTCTTCCCGCCGAGCTCCGCGACAAATTTTACAAGCATGTAGTTTTAGGACAAACTGTCGGCGTCTTTGCAAGTCAGATCCGGCAAGCTACGCGGAAACGCAAGCAGATATACAGGCGACATGATTTAGGCGTGTTCGCTCTGCTCTTGGTGTGCCGACAGATCCGGCACGAGGCATCGCCACTGTTGTATGGCCTAGCCAGATTCGATTTCACCTCGTTCAATAACAGCCGTGGTTCACGCAACTGCATAACCAATGTGTCCTTGGTCATGGGCCCCGCCAACTTTGGGCTCGTTCGATCAGTCAAATTGGGCATAGCAACGGTGCATAATATCCGCAGACTCATCGATTCCGGCTATATGGACAATCGCGCGTCTGCTATTCGAGATATTGAACTGCCGAAAGTCGAGCGTCACTGGATGAAGATTCGTAATGTCGACAGTGCCGAAGCCGAGCTTCTTGCCACTATGCAACGTTGGACCGGTAACATGGACGTCGTCCTGCATTTCATATAGGGACATACATCACGCAGTGAATGTCCACTGTCGGGAGTCACGGGCCCGGGCGCTAAATAACGCAAATCTATCACGATATCGCAACCCTAGCCGTCAGCAAAATGGCTCTACTTCTCCTACACATAGCCCCTCAATAGATACCACTCAAGATGACTTCCAGCCCGGCAGACCCGACGACGCAAAGCGCCACCGCCCAGGGTACCCTTCTGCATCGATCTGGCGCCGACAGGAGTAGAAGTACAGAGACGTAAGTTATTCGCCGCACTGAGCTATATGCTTCCACTGACAGCGCTCTAGCGTCCGGGCCGTCCATCAGCCCTTCCGTTTCCTCGACCTACCCACGGAACTCCGACTCATAGTTTACGACTACGCCTTCGACAGGAAATGTATATCCCCTACGCGCTCGCGCCGTCCGCAACCTCCAGTGCACAGCCGTCACTTTCCAGGAGCCTTTAGCCTTCTATTCTCTTGCCAAACGATACGCAACGAAGCAAGGGACTTCATCTACAAACACCGTACCTTTGACCTCCAAAATTATTATGACCTCCCAACAGCGCTTCAATATCTAGGGGCGGCAATCTGCGGATCCATCACGGCTATCAGGATCGAGAAGATGGGTCTTCTCCGTCCAGGTCTCTATATTTGTGTCCCCCCATGGAACGCCGATAACTACTCCCGGTTTATCAAGCGGTACTATCCGCGGCTACATGAGGCTCAACTGGTGAGTTTTCGATGGGGAAAGGTGACGCGAACACTTCGGGAAGATGTTGCCGCCCAGCTCAGGGATGTCGAGAAATTGCTTGCGGAGTGTCGAATTACACTGAAATCAAGTCTACTCTAAGACTAGGACTCAGGTGCGATGAGCATCAGAGCTCGGCGCCGTCGACGTTAGATGCTCATGCGCACACGGCTTCCCGTCTTCAACAATGTACCGAGCACCTGATAGCTAGCAGATGACATGAACGTATGGGTTCGATGGAAATGCGACTGTGTGGACACCTGCTGAACACGTACCCGTGATATCATATTGGAAATGATGGGATAAGATGTCCAGGGATAGACGTCTTCTTAGAGGACGAACTCCAATCTACCCAGTACCACACTCCCAACTTTTCTTTCATCCACTCACCTCCTCCGATAAATCGCCGCATCAATCCCCACCGCATCCTTCATAACCCTCATCGTCCACTCACTAACCGGCTCAAAAGCCTTGACCATGTCCCCCAACTGCTCACCCTCCCCGAACTCATGAATAGCCAGGAAAGACAACTCTTGTTCCTTCCCTTCCTCATCTTCAGAACCCGATTCTTGCCTGACAAGTGAATACCGACATGTGCGCAGCCAACCTGGTTGCTCAGACGTTTGCTGGTTATGCTCTTCGCGGTACCAAGCATCCAGGTCCTCGGCGCCGGTAGGCGAGGGTTGCATGAGTGCTATCATGATAGTCTTTGCAGGTTCTACAAGCTTGAGGTCAGCGAATGATACCTCTCATCTCCGTTTCTAGTCAAAATATAATGTGCAGACATACCACCAGTCTTCTTCGGACCAAAGATCTGGACTTCAGAATACGCCCTAACATCCCACTCTCCACCCACATTCTCGCCGTCAAGAAACTTCAACATCTGCTTTATATTCACACGTGCTAGGTCTTCTGTGTCGCAGACGAAGAGATGCTGTTTGTCATATTCTGCATTGGCGGCTTTGTATTGCGTTGCTGATTTGATGCCGAGAACATTTCCTGTTATGGCCGTGGATAAGAGGGGGAGCTTGTCGTCTGGTTGTGCTTCGTTACCTCCGGCTGAGGTGGGTTTAAGAAAGGCGAGGAGGACGCCAGCACCTGTGGCGGGGTCTGAGGGTGCCATATTGGGAGAAGGGATGTATTCGGGTGATGAGGGCTATGATGAGTAGATTGAGGGGGTTGAGGAGAAACACTATGGGTTTGGATGAAGATATGTTCATATGCAGTTACTAAATAGACCATCGAGGGTAAGCGCATGCCGTGTCTCCACTTCCCGGATCAGATTACCCGTTGGTTGCCTCTCGGCCTACTCATTATATGCACATGCACTACAATGGAACAAGATTTCGATGGCTACACGACCTCAAACTTCTTCAACATCAAGATCGCTGTTCTATTCAAATACAATTACATATATACAAAGACATGCCTTCTCCTACAACTTGCTCTTCTCAATGCGCTTGAACAGGACATCGCTATCCGGGTATGGGTCGACGGTGTAATTGTTAAGCGGGTTGAGCTCGCTGGCCCTGTAGAACATGTCCTCGTAGACCTTGCCGTCTGCGCGGCCCAGACTGCTGTCCAAGACCCAGTCGTCAAAGCCCCAGGCATCCACAAGCCTAACAGCGTGTGGCCGGATCTCCTTGAGCAGGTTCATGACGGTGTTGGTTCTCGCGAGCGAAATCTGGTGCTTGCTGCATGCGCCGGAAGCGTAGAACTCCGAGCCCTCCTGCTCAAGTGTGTGTAGAGCGAAGAGACGGAACAGCTTCATCAGCACGTCGACAATGCTCTTGTCAATGTTGCCTGCCTTTGCGATGTTCCTGAGCGCAGACAGGTTGTTCTTTACGACCATGTACTGTGCGTGGGCCTTGCTGAGGCGGTAGAAGTCGACGAGCAGATCGTTCCAGGGCTTCCTCTGCTCATCGCGGTGCTTGCTGGCTTCGAAGGTAAGGAACGATACGCGCCAGGCGAAGGCATTGACGAGATCGTCGTCGTCGCCAATAACGTCGAATGCGCAGCCGATTTCGCGGCGTGCATGGAATTGAGAAAGGATCTGGGTTGTGTCGTTGGTTGGCTTTTCGCCCTTGAGTACGGAACGGGCGGACTTGAGCATCTAGAGCAAAGGTTAGTAAGGGCTGATTGCAGTTTAGCAGAGTATAAGAGACTTACGTATCGCGCGACTTGCTGGGTCAACATGTAGTTGTCGCCTTCCCAAGTGGTAGTAGGGAGGTAGTCAGAGTACCACGGCCCGATACCGCTGAAGCTTGAGTAGCCGTGACCACCACAGGCTCGTCGGCAAACCTCGAGACCCTCTGCTGCGATCGAACTGCTAAGCGACTTCAATGCGCATGAAGAAGCGTGCAGGTCTGCTAACATATCGCTGCCCGATTGCACCTCCTCTGGCCCTGCTCCGCGCTTGCTTGGTGCATTGGTAGCGTTGCCCTGAGCGATCCTCTTCTGGTTCTCCTGGTACATGTCCATCATCGACTTTCCGGTGAAATGTAAAGCGAAGGTAGCGGCGAGAAGAGGAAGCAACCGAATCTGCACCATGGTGTAGTTCAGAACAGCAGTCTCAGCCTCACCGGCGGGAGCATCTCGGTCCTGGAATTGCCGTCGCACAGCACAGTAACGGGTGGCGATGGTAACACCTCGAGCCAGCACACTACCGGCTTGCATGACTATAGTCGATCGAACCCATGTGAGGGTTCCATAGACGAGGGAGGGCGCGCCACGGCGTCCAAACTTGTTCGTGTTGGGGTCAACAAATGTGTAACGAGCCAGCATGCTAATGTGGGGAATCTTGACTTGGTTGAAGAGAAGGAAACCGTTGTCCATGGTGTTGTAACCGAACTTAGGACCAATGTCTCCAATGTGGATGTTGTCGAGCGGCTCATGTGTCTTCAGGTCACGGATCTGGACGCAGAATGGAGTCGGCCCGTATGATTTGCCATCAATGATGAGCTGAGCCATGACGACCGCGTGGTTAGCTGTGCGACCTAGGGATCCAATCCACCATTTGCTGGCGGTCAGATGTGGGGAGTGGATGGTGAAGGTCTTGTCCTCCTTGTTCCATGTGGCGGTTGTTTCAAGTCCTCGAACGTTAGAACCATGGCCAAGCTCAGTCTGAGCATAACATCCGATGATCTCGTAGTTATTGGCCTTGGTGAGCCACTTTTCCTGCTGCTCCGGCGTACCCTGGCCTTCAAGTGTAACCTGCATAGTGAGTAGAAGTCGCGCGGTGACAGAACATGGCGCGTACCTTGAACATAGAGTCGTGGAGTCCGTATGGTCCGGGTTCGCCAACAAGCTCTGTAGCAGTCCTGAACTCGTCAAAAGACCAGTTGTGTTGCTTCTTCAAGATTCTGAGTCTCTTCTCCCTTGCAAGCGCCCTCTCGAATCTGTCGATCCTTCCCATGAAGTAGTTCTGCGACTTGTCGAAGACCTTCTCTGACTTGAGAATGTCAAGGATCTTGTTTCTCCTGTCGATGACATCTTGCGTGTGTAGGAGGACTTCTAGCTCCTGGACGGGTACATTGGAGTTTTCGCGTTCAGCCTTGAGCAATTCGTGGCCTTGAATGCCCGAAGGCTTCAGTTGCTTGACCCAGTCCGGTGTTGGCTTCATTGTGATAGTAGATTGATGATGGAGATGATGGGAAGAGGGTGTGTTTGGAATGATGATTAAGTAGGATGTCGATCTTGCGCTACCTCGGACAGCCGAGGTTCAAGTCTAGACTAAGCCACATTGGGCGATGACTGCGAGATTCGGACCGTGCGACGGCTTATACGTGCGCGTCTGATAGATAATCTCATGAAAGTTCCGAAGCCATTACCCCGGGTAGATGACGAAGGAAGTTGGCGACACGGGGTTCTATCATTTGAGCTGTCGCCCTCGTCGTGGGGCTTTTAGTGCATATCCAAAGAACATTTGGGGTCTCCGGGGTACCGGGGTCCTCCGGGGGCACGCTCGTCTCACAGAAGCAACACTGAGTCAGTGCCATAAGAGTATTTCAGATGTTTAGTGTTGCTGCACTGTATCAAAAGGACCTCGGTAGCCCAGGTCAAGCGTCCCCGTTATAGCTTTTCCATGGAAAATATATGGGGAGTTTCAGGACCACGTTGCACAGGTATCTTGTGCTCCCAGTTACCCACGCAGCTGCTCATATGCAGCCATAACATGGTGCCGCGTTAGAAAAGGGCCACGGTTTGGCGGCTCACAGCTCCTGCCTCGTGCTACAGTGGAACGTACATCGCGAGTTTCGGGAGTGTTATGTAGGAGGAAGCAACACCTTGCGTGCCAATCGGTCGGGTAGTACCAATCCGTCGTAGTGCATCTTCAGAGCCCGACACGGAATCTGGACCCTGGGAATTGTCGCGCCGCAACGCGGCTGAGCAAGTGTTGCCCTTTCTATCGCGTTCACGGGACCAAATTCATGTGCAGCAAAGCAAGTTCTTTCCGAACCGTACTACTACATCCAAACCCTGAATGTATGCACGATCTTTGGGGATTCAGACCAGCTGTGTAGATTAGACGGCCCACATTCAGGGTGCTTGATGCGGGACAGGTACAACTTGAGGAAGAGGGCTTCTTGTATCGAGTGATGGAGCTATGCCCCAGCCAGAAAGGACGATCAGCTCCAGTGCATCGAGGCCAGGCGGCGGCTGCTGTTGAGGCGCTGATAGGGGTGCTCAAGGCTTTGTGCGTGGCACGCGAGCTCTTGCACAAGTAAGCAAGCATCTAGGCGCCGGCTGCCTCGCCTTAGCAGAGCACCGCCCGGAAAGATGCACGACCAGGCAGCCATTGGCAAACTGAGCGCGTATTCCAGTCAGGAGGGCGCAATCCACAGCGACAGGAGCTGGTGGGGGAAACGGGACTGCAGAAAATGCGGCGGCGTCATCGTTTCTGGCCTCGACCTAGCCACACCCACTAGCCCGCACGGGCCCGGCCTGACAGGTAGAGCAGCGTCACTCTTTGCCTACAACACCATCCGGCCTGTTTACCCCCGCGAGCTAGAGCACGCAATTCTTTTCTCCTGTCCTCTTCCTAAGGACCTACACGACGCCCACCACACACGCCCGGCCACTTACCCAGTCGCCCCTGCGCCTAGCCACATCTGAAATCCCCCCACACACCAACAGCGCAGTTTGGAATTCTATGCCCCTAGGGAGACCCGCGATCAACCTCAGACTTCCCCTCGTCTCCTCCCACAGGTCCTTGTAGGCACCGGACAACATGGGTCAGACACTCTCAGAACCCGTCGTCGACAAGGTAATTGCCTCCCAATGCTGGCCCCCCGCCCCCGCACCTGCGCTACTCCTCGCTCTATTTGGCGGCAGTCGCCTGCATTGAGCTGCACGGCCGCGCAGGTTGTCCTTTACGTTAATACGACGCTAATACGCTGCTTGCACAGAAATCCGAAAACGGCGATGGCGAGTCACTCATCTACGGCGTGTCGTCGATGCAGGGCTGGCGGATCAGCATGGAGGACGCGCATGCCACCGTACTAGACTTTGCAGGTGAAGCCGGCAAACCCACTGGCAACGACAAGCGACTTGCCTTCTTCGGCGTATACGACGGACACGGTGGTGACAAGGTAGCCTTGTATGCTGGCGAGCAGCTACACCAGATTGTCGCGAAACAGGAGGCTTTCAAAGAGGGCGACATCAAGAAGGCTCTACAAGATGGTTTCCTCGCAACAGACCGCGCCATCTTGAGTGGTATGTTTTTCAGGGCACCTTTCTTTAGTCAACAGGTGGCTGACTCACGCGAACAGATCCCAAGTACGAAGAGGAGGTATCTGGCTGCACTGCGTCCGTGGCCGTCCTTTCCAAAGACAAGATCTACGTCGTACGTTGACCCCATATAACATTCCTTGGACAATTCTCACATCAACAGGCCAACGCAGGTGACTCGCGTACTGTCCTAGGCGTCAAGGGAAGGGCTAAGCCGCTCTCTTTCGACCATAAGCCCCAGAATGAGGGTAAGAAACATAGATGACGAAGGCAAGCAGCACTGACATATATTAGCTGAGAAGGCACGTATCCAAGCCGCAGGTGGTTTCGTCGACTTTGGCCGTGTCAACGGCAACCTGGCTCTGTCGCGCGCGATAGGTGACTTCGAGTTCA